TCGATGCAGGGGGCTATCGAACAGGGTCTTCACCTCAGGCTAGGCTACCTCGGGTGGTATATCTCGTGAAGCGAGTAGTGGTTGCAAGGCACTATTAATATCACGTCGAGGAATGGCGGCCTCGACGGAAGCCTCGTGAAGCGAGCCTGTGAGCTTGAGCTTCAAAGTTCTTGAACTTGATGACAGGGTTTTTTCAATCAAACCGTGGAAGATATGTTAAAAGTATATATTGAAAAGAATTAACAGACAATAAAGATTCACAATTTAGCATATACAAGTTATTTACCATGAATAAGATTTGTTACACAATTGCTCTGTATCGCTTTCTTGGACCATGTACTCCCACTATAAGCCTGCAAACGTCGCAAGTAGACGTTCAGTCGCTTTTTTGGGATTTCCATACTTTTGGCGGACCGGGCCTTGAATTGCCCGCCAAAATCTCGAACAAAAATAATCCATCGTCCCCATCAACGCCGGAACTCGTTCCCCTCTGGCCTTTACGGATAGTCGATGTCGCCGTCGGGGATTTTGGAGTTTTTTCCCGGTTTGGGAAAAACTCTACCCGCGGTCTCGGCTTGGGCTGCCGAGCATCGCATCCAACCGCCAGAGCGGTGGAACCTTCAGAAGACGGTCCTTTCGGCCCAAAGACGGAGAAATTGGAAAGATAGGTGAAATTTTCCCCGTTTTCGTAAAAGGGCCTACGGAGGTCTTATTACTGGATGGGTTGACGTGAAATTTTATGAATAGATACACGGCATGACATAGTGCCGTGGTTGGAGGGTTCGACCGAGATCACGCGGATACTTTCGGCGGCAGCTCTGAAGGCGTGAAAACCTATTATGACTTAGCTGGCCGTTAGTAGTCGCGCGATTCGGTTCGAATTTGGACATGACAACCACCTAGCGATACTCTAGTGTGGTTGGAAGGTTCGACCGAGATCGAATGAGCAGAACGGCTGAAAACAAAACGTGAAATCCGCGTTTCCCCGTATAACGGCGTTTTGGCTCATCCGATTCGGACGAAAATTTAGTGAGATAATGCTAGCGACTTGAGGAGTGCTGCATTAAATTTTGACACCGATCGCTCAATAACTTTTAGAGTTATTAGCGATAGCGTCCTTGACCATTTCGAAAGGGTGGTGAAATTTCTAAGCAGCGGCAGTGGTCACTGCGCGCCGGGATGGCAGATCCAGGCGAGATCGGTCGCGATGCGGGTGACATTGGAAACATCGGTTGAAAATCGCCGAGAGGATCGATGTCTGAAGACCCTTATTGAGGCTTTTTCATTTTGCCCGGCCGACGGCGATTGATTTCGCAACCGTGGCGGGTTTTTGGTTTGAATTGGAAAGGTAAGGGAATATGATTGTTCCGCCTCCCTTCCAATTCAACGGTCTCCGGCATATCCGTAGGTACAAGATTATGACTTCTATGAATATACGGGATGTTCTGAAATCCTGAAGCTCGCTCGAAGGGTGGAATACGACACTTTACATTTTTAAAAATGGAAAATAAAAATGCAATATCTACACATTCCTATAATATAGTATTCGATAATCATAACAATTGTATTAGAAACGAAAAAGATGAAATCTTAATAGGGTAGTAGTAAAGTATATTTACCACAAAATTATTTTTATACAACAGTTAATAAAACAAAAATCCTGTTGAAAATAAAAATGATTTATCACATACAAATGTATAAATATTAGAGGTTATAATTGTGATTTGAGATATGTGACTTGATAATGCATTCTTTTTAGACATAAATTTGCCTCAATTTATCTTACTTCATCTCAGCTCACTTTGTCTTAATTATTCTTACAAGTGAGATAGTCGGCTGGTAACAAGAATACAGCTATTGTCGTATTCCAACCTTAGAGCGAACTTCAGGATTTTCGAACCCTCAGTATGTTCCCAGACGTCGTCCCGTACCTGCGGATATGTCCGAGGCCATCAGATTGGGAAGGAGGCGAAAGAGTCAAATTCACCTACTTGGAAATCCGTGGTCTATGAATATTTATTTCATATCTGATTGCTCATTATAATATAATGTAGACATCGTGTCCTTGCTGACTTAGCAGCTTCTATAATTAGTCCAGGGAAGTTGGGAAAAACGGCGGAAATTTTTAGGTAAAGCAGATATCGAGATGCGGTTTTCTGCATTGTGTTCAGGAAGGTCCCAGGAAAAAAGTCTATATCGTCTGGTTAAGCCATTTTTTGAAAAATGCCTTCTAGGCCGGAAAATGCATTTTCCAATTGCACCATTACTTGCACCATTATAGGAACGACTGGAAACTCGGAAATATCGCTCGGAAATCGTTACTCGGAGGTTTTCGGGGCTGCCAAACTCGATTCTGGCATTAGAATTACCCGGGGGTGCACGGGGGTGGCTCCGTGGAGGTACGCGGGGGGTGAATTGGGGGAGAAATGGCAGCGTGCATGAAAATCGCTCCAAACTCGTTACTCGGGGGTTTTCAGGGATGCCGAATTCAATTGGAATTACCCGGGGGCGCTCGGGGGCGGCTCTGTGGGGGTATCCGAGGGGTCATTCTGGGGGGGAAATTGCATCCCACAAACTTTTGATTAACTGATTAAAAACTTGATGTAGTCGGAAAACATATAAAATGAACATTTGAAGACGCATATAGTTAAGAAACACAATAATCCAGGAACAAAAAAGGTAAATTTTCATACATTTGTTACATTTCAACTGTCTTCAGAAGGTAGTCTCTCCTTTTGGAGGGCCCAAACAAGAAGCTAGTATCGATTCAAGTCCTATTTGTGAAGAGTTGGTATATTAGAAGTAAGTAGACAATAAGTAAGGGCAAATAGAAATTGGAACCAATGAGCACGGAAGAGTTCAAATGCAGTGCTGAAACCGTAGTGCCTTCAACTGGAGAACAAGAGTCGTAGCCTTGTTTTTCTGGAACAAATTCAGTGCACAAATCCATGATAAAATCTTAGTGTGAAGAAAACAGGGTAAAAGAAACTACATAATACGGATTATTCTTTTAAAAACTGTTTCATTTATTTATGTGAACTTCCATTTCTTATCATTTATTTATAAGTAGTTAATAACTTGGCGCAGGCTACGTAGGTAGAGTTATAAGGGATTTTATGTTGAAAAGAAAATCAATTTAATTAAACAGAAAGAATTGTTTTGAAGATCAAGTTGTGAATTTTAATTATTATCTCTTTAATTTGGCATAATCAACATTAAATATTAAAATAAAATAAAAGTCAACTAGTTAATTAAATTATAAATCAAGGCAGTGCTTCTTACTTGAACGGCCCCTGTGGACAGAGATTTCCATGCTATAGAAAATACAGGACAAATTGTACCTTCATTGTATTTTTAACCGCTGAATAAAATTTTTTTATTCTCATAAATTAGTTAAAATTTTCTTAACTCCCCAAAGTTAGTATTTTGAGAATGGTTGTCTTAGCTGAGAGAAGTTCGAAATCTCGAAACTTTCTATGAGACTGGCTGGCGCTCACATATAAGCATTGAAGGTGAAGTGATTGTTCCTGTTGTTATTCTGAGCTATCCGAGGACGATATACATATAACACCATATAATACACCAATAAAAATTAATTACATAGCAATATATAAACAAATATTTATAACAGCATTTCCTTCAATTCATCTGGAGTTTTACTAAACATTGAGTATGGATTCTCATACTCGTTCTGAGGATTATTTATGGCTTCATAAAGTTGTGTGTATATTGCCAATAGAACTTCACGTGATCTCTTTTCAACAACTTCTTTATATTTAGACGATAACAGTAAATTAAATTGTGGTAATAATATGAACTCAGGTGATGTGATGAGATGTTCCAATTTTACCTGCAAAAAATGATATAGGTAATGTACATTCATAGACTTAATAGTTTTATGCGTTAAATAGAATTCAGTAAGCGCCCATTCTAAAATTCAACTGTCAAATGATTATGTACTAAACGAGGTAATGCAATATTTACTTCTTCCAATTTGTAAAATAAATTCATAGCTGATCATCATCATCCATCATCATCATCCATATTCATCATCATTCATATTCATCATCATCCATTCACCATCCAACATCCAGTAAATAGTAAATATATACACAAAGTAAATTGTTAAATAAAAAAAAATGTTTTTAAATGATAGGGCCGTCAGTGTCCCGATTTAGGCGGGATTGTCCCGATTTTATTTGATTTGTCCCGCGTCCCGCCTCGCTCTTAATCGGGACGCAAAAATCCCGACTTTCAGTTATGTCACATAAAGACGTATTTATACAGAGCGCACTGCTGGAATTAGCACTGGCAAGAGGGGAATTAGGTCTTTGCTAGTTTATTTAATTATTAATTGCCACGCCACATGGAGACAATTTGCGCCACCACTTACCACCACATAAGACATAAGTAAGTAAATTTCATTATACATTATTATATAAATGAAGCAAATGCAGTTTTGGAAACTATGATGAATTATTTAAATAAGTGGTTTAACTATGATGACACTAGATTAAAATCATTAGAAGTCATGACTCTGGAAAATGATTTTATTTATTATTATTTAATTGTAGAAGTTGCCGAGAATTTTGAAATTGCAATAAATTAGGATTTATTGTTTGAGGAATATTCAAAATTAAAATCTTTCTTGGCTGAACTCGACACCACTACAAAATTTAAATCATTTTGTTATGACTAAAAATGGGTGTATCACTACATATTATAAAACAGAGTCCTCCGCCGCGTCTGTCTGCGATAAACTCAAAAACTACTGCACCAATTTTCATGCTGCTTTCACCAATGGATAGAGTGGTTCTGGAGGAAGGTTTTAGTATACAATTGGTTAAGTTTTTGTATACATTAACGATTGTTGGAGGTGTCGGAAAAAATAAGCCGTCTGGGAGCTTTCAACGAAAACGCTGCCTAAACCCTTTGAGATATAACAAAATAATGTATGGTGGAATTGTGTATCTTATATAGGTCCACAGAAAAGTCCGCGATGGCATATGTCTATCTCTTAAGGATAACATACTATATCCATTTTAATACTTTAAAAAATGGGCAATTATAAAGCGGTAATTGGAAAGCTATTTACACAAATACGGTATTAATCCTTATCATTTTAAATAAGTTAGAGGCTTTAAGCATTTCATGCACATTATTTTACTCTTTTACACCATATAATTTAAATGAATAAGGAATTACGGACGCGAGAATAAAATTCAAGCGC